GGGAAGGGGAGAAGTCACAGGCAAGAACATGCCTGCTGTTTAGACTGAACAATTGTGTTAAACACTTAGTGCTGCTGATGGACCACCTAACTCACACACTGACTACTTCTGAAATATTAAGTTTTAAAAATTCACAAAAGCAGCTGGGCAGTTGTAGTGCAAACCTTTAATCTCAGCAATTGGGAGGCAGAAGCAGGTGGATCTCTGTGAGTTTAAGACCATTCTGGTCTATAGAGCGAGTTCCAGGACAGCTGAGGCTATCGGAGAAATTTTAGACACTTTATCTCAAAAAAAAATTCAGATAAGCCTTTTCTTGGCAGTAATATTTTGCAAAATCCTGTGTTCTCTAACCCATGCTATAAGTCATAGTGTTACAAGTACATATGAACACCTTACCTCTTCATTTGTGGTATATGTCTAAATTAGACTAATTACTGTTCTGTATGAATTTTGAGAAAAACTAAAATTTATTTCTGAGGATCAAGGAAAGAAATGTACTCCATGGGTCTCCTGAGATGATTTGGCAGAAAAGGGCATTTATCAAGACCCATGACAGGAGTTCAATCCCTGTGACCCATACGGTGGAAGAAGAGAGCCAACTCTGGCAAGTATATCCTCTAACCTACACTCCCCCAATAGATAAACATAATAAAAAAGAAATGTACTCTATGCAAAACAAAGTATTGTTTTCATAGTTGTTTAGATATACTTTCTTTTTTAATTATTATTTTTTTATTTACTATGCATGAGTGTTTTGCCTGTATATATGTCTGTACACTATGTGCATGTCTGGTGCCCCTGAAGGTAAGAAGGCATTAGAACCCCTAGAACTGGAGTTACAGACAGTTGTGAACCACAGGGAATGGAACCTGGGTCCTCTGGAAGAACAGTGCTCTTAACCTCTGAGTTATTTCTCTAGCCCCTGGATATACTTTCTACCAGGCATCAAAGAAATCAAGAATTTAATCAGAAGAAAACTGGAAAAAATAAGAGAATAAATGGTTTAGTGAAGAATCACAAGCAGATACTTGGTGTAGGAGGCTCTTCTGTTTATGTGTTGCTTTCATTGGCTAATGAATACAGAAACTGCTTTGGGCCTGACAGGGCAGAACTTAGGTAGGTGGAGAAGACAGAACTGAATGCTGGAAAGAAGAGCAGAGTCAGAGAGAGCCACCATGGAGCTGCCAGAGACAGACATATTGAATCTTTCTCAGTAAGCCACTGCCACGTGGCGATATACAGATTAATAGAAATGGGTTAAATCAAGATGTGAGACTTAGACAATAAGAAACTAGAGCTAATGGGCCAAGGAGTGTTTTAATGAATACAGTTTCTGTGTGATTATTTTTGGTGTAAGATAGCCGGGTGGCTGGGACAAACAAAGGCCCCCCCCTCATTGAAACAATCGGTGCTCCAAAATGGTCAGCTGGAGCCACGTAAAACCTGTGAGGGCTTGAAAAGGGAATTCTAGACTATACATACATACATATATACATACATACATACATATAGAGAGAGCGAGAAAGAGAGAGTTTAATACAGCTTTTTGCTGTTTGCTGGTGGCATGCCGCAGAGATATTTTCCTGACTCAGCAGCTGCAGTAGGAAAAAAAAGTGGCAGTTTTGAAATGCCTGCTTTCTGTGCTGTGTTGCCAGTGCGACCGCTGACTCTTTGGGGAGACAGAGTATTTGGATGGGATGTGTGAGTGGATTGCTCCGGCTTACTTGATGGCAAGTTGGACTGGCTGTGTGCCTGGAAGTTGGGCCATGTGCATGGTTCAGAGGCTTGAGCAGCTCATCCATGCAGGACTGGACAGGGCAAGTAGGCACTGACATATTACCTGAGCAATGACACAACTTAAGTTTTTTAAATAGCGCTTAGCATTTTAGGAAGTGCTCCTGGACAGTAAAGAATTGTAGATTCACAATAGGACAGATTCAGATATAACAGACCTCTAAATGGGTCAAAGTGTTGGATAGGCTTGGGAGAAGGAAAAGGGTATAGAGAGTCATAAAATAAAGTTAATGCTTAAAATAGAGAGTAAAGTCTTTAAGGAGACAGTACAGATAGTCATAGACTAAAAGGAGTAAAGAAAAATAAGCCACATAAAAATGGAAAATTCACAGAGAGTCTGGATTATGTGTATTATTGTGTTTTCTTTGAATTTTTGACTTTGAAGGAGCTAAATACAGACAGACATTTCATTGTATGGGCTGCTAAGCTAAACCAGCATGTATTTTAAAAGGTATCATGACTTCCAAATATGAGTATAAGGATAAGTTGCTTTGGAAAGGAGGTTCTTCTTCTGTTTTCACAGATGAAAACCTGTGGATTACTTCTACACCAATATGGTTTCATGGACCAAGGCCTCCTGAAAGGTCACCGTGAACACCCTCAAAAAATTACTTTGCCCAACTGGTAACTGAGATGAACCTAGCACACAGGATACACCATGAAAGACCTGATTAACAGTGCCCCAATATAACAGAAAGAAGTTTGGAGAAAAATAACTATGCACATATTCCCAAATATTGTTTATAACTGTTTGTTTACATTTAAAGGGGGGATATGATATAAATAATTTTCATTAGTATGGATTTTGGTTTATTTATACAAATTTAAGGTCAATTTTGTTATATGTATATGTATTTCTGATCTTGATTAAGGTATTGTGATTGTGTAGCTCATTTAAACATGTAATGTATAATTAAGAAATATAGGTTAATAGAGAGTCATCTTTATTAGTCAAGCTTGTAGTCATGTTAGTTAGATCTTCTAGATGTATAGAGATATATTTCAGTCAGATAGATATTCTTCAAGTCTTTCACAGACCTTCAGAATATGGCATTTAAATGTTTTAAAAATTTAGAACTTTTCATGACAGTGAGACACATCTGGCAGCAAAGCTACTTCAAAAGGATGATGGGCACTGAAGAGGCTCCTTATGGGGGTGGTTAGCCATTTGGGCAGCAAACTGCTTTTGCCTGGACTGCTTCACTGGACATGCAGGACCTGCAGAGAAATGACTGATGAACTTGCCTAAAAGTGAGATGATCCTTCAGAGTTCCTGCTTCATGAAAGAGTCTATGAAACATTCTACAGGACACAGAAGAAAGTGACTGAAAACTGTCAATATAGGCAGAACTGGCTTTGAAATTTCCTGCTTCATGGAAAAGTCTGCTGGATACTATGGGCCTGTAGGTTGAAGATGGATGCCCCAATGGTATGGAAGAACTTTGGGTGACTGTCCAGGCAGCAAGATGTCTCTGTCAATTCTAGAGTTTTGGAAGTTGTTTATAATGCACTTCCTGTTTACTTGGGTAATATTATATCCTTCTGGAGTCTTTGATGGAGTTGAAGAATTTATACTTACAGTTTTCTTTAGTTATGATAAAAGATAAAGTAGATATAAATATTGTAACTGTAATTCTTGCTTGATAACTGTTTTGTTATATGTAATTTTACTTTGTTAAAGTTAAAGCATTCCTTTCTGCTTAAACAGAATAGGGGAAATGGTATAGGAGGGTCTTCTGTTCATGTATTGCTTTCATTGACTAATGAATATAATGCTTTGGGCCTGATAAGGCAGAACTTAGGTAGTAGGCAGAGAAGACAGAACTGAATGCTAGGAAGGAGAGCTGAGTCAGAGAGAAGCCATAGATCTTCTGCCTGAAACGGACGCTGGTTAGAATCTTGCCAGTAAACCACAGTCACGTGGCAATACACAAATTAATAGAAATGGGTTAAGATGTAAGAATTAGCCAATAAGAAACTAGAGCTAATGGGCCAAGCAGTGTTTTAATGAATACAGTTTCTGTGTGATTATTTCAGGTATAAGATAGCCGGGCAGCTGGGACAAACAAAGGGCCCCCCTCTCATTGCAACAGATACTAAATGAAATAATCTTTCATCCAAAGTCTGCTGCTCAGTTCCTTACATCCACTGGGGATCAATAAATGCTAATCTATTGTTAAGAGGGCACAGATATCTTAAAATGGAAATGAAACTTTTCTACTTTGAAGCTTCTAGGTTTCTGTTTATTAGAAAATTTTGGGCAAGGAGCTGGCTTTAATGGTGCATATCTTTACTCCCAGTATTTAAAAGGCTGAGACAGGAGGATCAGAAATTCCAGGTTAGTCTGGGCCATACAGGAAGACTCTGTCTCAAAACTCCAACCAATCAACCAACCAAATGAAAATTCTACATAAAATACACAATGAGACCCTATTGAAAGGTGCCTTGAGACCGACTACTAGTTGTAATAGGAAAGAAGTATTTGTAAATCTTCAAAGGCACTTAAAACAATAATAAATGATCTAGTGAACACTGCCAATGTTAAATAGGAAAATTCCTGCTGTTGAACATATGGTGATAAGACCTTTATTGCAATGCTGTAACCTATAGCATGGACCAAACAGGAAAGTTGTACATGTGGGGCATTCTATTATTCTGTTTAGGTTCATACCGACTCTACACTGCAGGGAGCTATATAGTACCAGCTCTGAGCTGTGTCCCGGAGAAATGGTCAGAGTACAGCATTTGGGAAATCTAGTAGTGTCAGGGAGAAGCATGGCAGAGAGAAAGACGCACACTAGCATGCAATCAGGAAGATCTGAATCCTAACAGCAAATGAGTAGTTGTGTAATTAACCTCCTTAAGCTTCACTTTTCTCATTTGTAAAATGAGTTCCACGCCTTGGGAGACTGCTGTGTGGATTAGAAGGAATACAGGCATGCACATACATGCACATTCCATCTGGTTGAGTGTCTAATGCTCAAAAAATGACAGAGGTATCATTAGGAACTCAAATGAGCAGTCCTATATAAGAACTCTGGACCAATGTAATTGAGGTACATCAGCATAGTTTTTCTGGGCTTAGGACCAGATTTAGATTAACTGTTCCTAAATGAAAAGTTCTACGAAATTTTTATGTTAGAGAAGAAAAGAGATGCAAATGGCAGGGCAGCCAAAAGAACACAAGGCAACAGGCCCGAACTTACGCCGCTCTTCTCTGTGCCTCTCAGTCTCTGCAAAGTACTGGCGGAGCTCTTCGGTGATTTCCATATTGCTCAGGTCGCATTCTATTTCATTATCTGAATCCGACTCCAGTTCTTCCTCTTCATATGGGGCTTCATCTTCTCTTGTGGTTGCCTGGATTCTACTGCTATCATATAGAGGTTGTTCAGAGCTTTGGAGATGGGAAACACTGTAGGGAGGCTCCTGCCAGAGCATGTGTTGGCCTTGATAGTTCCAAGGTTGCCCAGCCTCATAAGCAACAGAGTTCCAGGGAAGAACTCCTTGAGGGTAGAACCATGGGGAAGTGGAACAGGAATCCCTGGACTTCCTGTAGACATTCTGGTGGGTTCGCATCCAAATCATTGCATGATGATAATGTCGCCAATATCTTGCATACACCGGGTGAGAATACCAAGATGCACTAGTTCTCCATTTTGAAGTCTATGGAATGGACACATAAGAGACATCAAATGGTTCATCCTCTAGAGAATCTTCAAATGTTTAAACGACTAACCAACAGCTATTCACTGAGTGCTATCATTTCTTTTTCTATTGCTGTGATAATACCAGGAGCAAGAACAATTTCTAGAAGAAAGCATTAAAGAGGGCCTTTTGCTTTCAGAGAGTTAGTCCAATACAGTCGGGAGGCATGGCAGCAAGCAGCAGGCACAGGAGCCTGAGCAGAAAGCTGAGAGACCACATCTAACCATAAACTATAAGTAGAGAGTAAGCTGAAAAGGGGACAAGGCTATAAATTGTCAAAGCCCACTCCATGTGATGTACTTTCTCCAGCAAGGCTACATTCTTCAATAACCACCCCAAACAGTGCCACTAACTGGGGATCAGTGTTCAATTACACTAGCCTATAGGGGAGATTTCTCACTCAAACCACCACACTAACATCTACTGAATATCTACATTCACAAGGATGCTACTAAGCATAAATAAGAAGAAAAGTGTAAAACAAGTTTGTACCCACAATAGGGGGCAAATGTAATATATTTCCTGAGTTACCCACAGGACTATAGCTGAAGGTTATGGAGGCTTATATAATGTGATGATTGGTGTTGGCAACGTCACAGGATCTAGAATCCGATCTCTGGGTTCAACTGTGAGAGATTCTATCAATTGAGTCTGGAAGACCAGTCCAGTAGGTGGCACCATTCCCTGGCAAGGATTCTAGACTGTAATGGAGCAGAGGCATGAATTCCTCACCCCTTGCTCCTGACTGTATCCAATACCGCCTTTGAACTGGGAGCCAAAATTATTTTTTCTCCCTTAATGTGCATTTATCTGAGAATTTTGTCACAACAACAGGAAAAGAAACCAAGGCATTGAGGACAGAGGTAAATAGACTGTTTTCACTAAAAAAGCCTTCATTTAATTCACAGTATTTCTAGCAAGAGTCCACTTTAAGTTTTTATTAGTATATGTAATAACAGCTTCATGAGGACATCTCCATACTAGTACATAATGTATTTAGATCATATTCACCCCTATTACGCTTCCCCCTTTCTACTATACTGGTTGCTTTCTATAAGACAAGAAAAAAGTCCTGACATTTGTCATTTCGGCTATCTGTACTACTTCCAAGATAGAAATGAACTGCCAATTCTAATGACCCCAATAGCCTCTGGTTCCTTTTCTTGTTTCCTACTAATCTGCTGGCTTAGTTCACTCCTCAATGTCTAAGACATATCTAACAACGCAAGAGATGGTGCTTTTATTTTTAGTTGCTGATAGACAGTTTGAGTATTCCTTATCTGAAATGCTGGGGCCAGAAGTGTTTCAGATCTCAGCAGTATTTGGAATGGCTGCATACATCTTTACTAGAAATCCGTAATCTGTACTACCTCAAAATCTGAAATATTGTGTGTGTGTTGTGTTGGTATACAAACATTTTTGGACTCTGAATGTCTTGGAAGAATGAGTTCATCAAGATTTTGGGGGGTGGTTGGAGTGGGAGGACTATTAGGGGTTGGACATAGGGGTGCTGCACATGCTAGGCAAGTGCTTTACCGCTCAGCTATATCCCCATCCTAAACGTCAATAAAGACTAACTTTAACAAATTTGTAAGAAAAATGGGTAATCTTACCATTGCTGCTATCACTGATTGCAAATTCCAAGTGGGCACTGAAAGACAAACACAGTATGAACATTTGATCAGCACTGCTATAGTACGGTCACAGCTATTTCATGGTCTTCAAAATAGTTCTTAAGAGGTTTCCCCTTGCCAGCATCATGCTCGATCTTCATGTACGAGAACCTGTTACCTGACTTGTGATCTCATGATCTGGGGAAGAACAATTCCCTTAGGTATAAGTGAATCAAAGGGCCATGCCTGGTTTTGTGTTCAACTACTTGTGTATTGAAAGAAAAGTCTATAAAAATAATCACATAACTTAGGTATGTGTATATAAAAAACCCACTACAGAGCATGAACTCCAAGCTTACAACAGTACTTTACTAGTTTAAGCATAAGCTAATGTCTATTTAAAATAACCTCAGTTTCTCTTTTTCTTCTTGAACATTTATTTATTATTTATTGTGTATGTGGGAGCGCTAGGTGTGCCATGCATGTGTGTGGAAGTCACATGTGAATGAGTCAGTTGTCTTTTCTCCTGTGCCTCTGGGATTGACTCAGGGTGTCAGGCTTGCTGGTATGTAGGCAGCTTGGCCCATGAAGCCACCTTGCCAGCCCAATCATGAGGCTTGAGAAGATTATCTTTCCAACTGACTGGAAGCCTCTGTTGGGTCTTGCCTTAAACTTGCAGAAGTCTCTTGAAACAAGATGATTCCCTAGTCTCCACTTTGGTTTTGGTTTCATATGCTACTCTTTCTTTAATCATCCCGCTTCCTTGCAGAAGGAGGCTCCAGAGGCATAGCACGTTCTAACTAATATTCCTTAAAAAATGCTGGTGTGACCCAGGCAGGCTCGCAGAGCAGCCGCTAGTCCAGCAAGGACAGTTGTGGGTCCCTGCAAGATCCCCAGGGGCCATGTGAACAGGCGAGCTCGAGAACAGGCGGCGGATAAAAGGCTTACAAGACATAGTAAATAGACAAGCTGAACATAAAGCTGAATATGTATTACTTAAAGAAGAGAGAGAGAGAGAGAGAGAGAGAGAGAAAGACAGAGAAAGAGAGAGAGAGAGAGAGACAGAGAGGGGGAAAACACGTGTGCACACACCAAGAGACAGAAAAGAAAGAGGCCAAGATGGCAACGAGAGGCCAGAAGTCACTGGGAGTGGGCGTGGCTTGTCCCTTAAAGGGACCAGAGATCAAAAGGAATAACACTAACTGCTTTCGCCAAAGCACTGCTTTGCCAGTTTGGCTCCTTTTCCTACTACCTAGCCACCTACCTCTTTGTGATCATTCACATATTCACTGAATAACATACCTAAAAAGTGAGATCTAAGCTCCACCTGCACACCTTTTACAACCCACAAAAATTAATGCTTGGGCTGTTGAGACTGCTCAGCAAGCAGGCGTGCCTGCCACATGACACTGATGAGCTGAAACCCGCAGTGGACAGAAAGATTCCCAAAAGTTGTCCTTTGACCTTGGCCTGTACACAGACAGACAGACAGACACACACACACACACACACACACACACACACACACACACACAATTAATTTCTTCACCTTGGTTAGAGATTTTAAAATGCCTCACAATACCAGAATGTACTTTTAAAATAGTTACATCAGTGTGTGTCTGTAATTCCAGCAATTGGGAGGTAGAGGCAGGCCAAGGCCAATATGGCCGGTGGAGGTCTTCTCTCAAAACAAACAAACAAACAAACAGGTAAACAAACAAGAAATGTCTCCAGGTGGTGGTGGCGTGCACCTTTAATCCTGGCTCTCAGGGAGGCGGAGGAAGGTGGTTCTCAAGGAGTTCAAGGTCAGCCTGGGCTACAAGAGCTAGTTCCAGGACAGGCTCCAAAGCCACAGAGAAACCCTGTCTCAAAAAAACCAAAAAAAAAAAAAAAATCTTAAAATGCATTTAAATTTAAGATCATATAAGACAAAAACACCAACAATGTGATACTTAAGGTTTTAGAAACTTTAGAAATCAGATTCTGAAGAAACCCTATTTGTTTTACTTAACAAGAAGCCAGAATCCAAAAAACCCCAAACTATTAAAAATAAAGCTGACATAATTTGTTACCGCAGTAAGATGTTGCATGGACTGTCCTTGTTTTCAGATTTACATTAAAGACAATCATTCACATTGAAATGTAGCAAGCTTTCAAATAGAAAATTGTTAAGAGGGTTGTCATGACCTTCTACAGACTTCTTTTAAACACAAGTACCTTGTAAATTCAGAGATGTAACACACAGTATGAAAACACACACACACACACACACACACACACACACACACACCCTGGATAGAAACCAGGAGAAAGTAATCAAATGCAGTGAGAGTGTAAGCTGAATCGATCTTTTCAACTCTAATTTAAAGGTTTAAAACTGGGTCCATTTCCTGGAAATGGAACAGCTAGCAGCTAATGTTCTTTATAGGCTATGAAGAAAATAGAAAATAGTAATTGGCTGTGTTACTATCTAACAAAATAAAACAATATGCAATCATGGTAGAAATCAGTGAACATTTAAGTGCTAAACTGCAAGGAAGCCTCTAAGTGGCTAATTGATTAAAGCCAGGTTTCATATTTCTATCACTGAAATCTGAAGAGCTTTCAGTGCCTGCAGCACACAATGACATCAAAATGAACTCCATGCATGTCTTAATCAAATTTATTTTCTAGGTTAATAAAGAGCATAGGGATTAAATAAAGAAAGTCTAAGAGTAATCAAGTGTCTTCTGGAAATTAAGAGTTTTGCATCCTAGCTGGATGTGGCAGTGCATGCCTGTGATTCCAATTCTCATGAGTCTGAAGCAGGAGAACAGAACGTTTGTCTGAAGAAATAGAAACAGTCATCAAAAGTCTCCCAACAAAAAAAAGCCCAGGACCAGATGGTTGCAGCTTAGAATTCTACAAGATTTTCAAAGAAGAACTAATACCAATACGCCTCAAATTATTTCACACAATAGAAACAGAAGAAACACTGCCAAACTCTTCTTATGAGGCTACAATTACCCTGATACCCCAACCACAGAAAGACATTACTAAGAAAGAGAATTACAGACCAATCTCACTCATGAACATTGATGTAAAAATACCAAATAAAATACTGGCAAATGGAATCCAATCCATCAGAACCATCATTCACCATGATCAAGTTGGCTTCATCCCAGAGATGCAGGGATGGTTCAACATACGAAAACCTGTCAACATAATCCACCATATAAACCAACTGAAAAATAAAAACCACATGATTATCTCATGAGATGCCGAAAAATCTTTCAACAAAATACAACATCCCTTCAAGATAAAGGTCTTGGAGAGAACAGGGATACAAGAAACATACCTTAACATAATTAAGGCAATATACAGCAAGCCAACAGCCAACAACAAACTAAATGGAGAGAAACTCCCAGCAATCTCACTGAAATCAGGAACAAGACAAGATTGTCCACTCTCTCCATATCTATTCAATATAGTTCTTGAGGTTCTAGCTAGAGCAATAAGACACCAAAGGAGATCAAGTGGATACAAATCGGAAAAGATGAACTCAAACTCTTTCTGATGATTTGATAGTTTACATAAGTGATCCCCAAAATTCTACCATGGAACTTCTACAACTCATAAACACATTCAGCAATGTAGCAGGATACAAGATTAACTCAAAAATATCAGTAGCCCTCCTGTATACAGATGATAAATGGGCTGGGGAAGAAATCAGAGAAACATCACCCTTCACAATAGCCACAAATAGCATAAAATATCTCAGAGTAACTCTAACCAAACAAGAGGAAGACTTGTATGACAAGAACTTTAAATCTTTGAAGAAAGGAATTGAAGAAGATACCAGAAAGTGGAAAGATCTCCCATGCTCTTGGGTAGGTAGAATTAACATAGTAAAAATGGCAATCTCCAAAAGCAATCTACAGATTCAATGCAAAGCCCATCAAAATCCCAGCAAAATTCTTCACAGACCTCGAAAGAATGATACTCAACTTCATATGGAAAAGCAAAGAACCCAGGATAGCTAAAACAATCCTGTACAATAAAGGAACTTCTGGAGGCATCACAATCCCTGACTTCAAACTGTACTACAGACCTACAGTACTGAAAACAGCCTGGTATTGGCATAAGAACAGACAGGAAGATCAATGGAACTGAATAGAAGACCAGGATATTAATCCACACACCTTCAAATATCTGATTTTTCAGAAAGAAGCAAAAAATATCAAATGGAAAAAAGAAAGCATATTTAACAAGTTGTGCTGGCATAACTGGATATCAATATGTAGAAAAATGAAAATAGACCCATATCTATCACCATGCACAAAAATCAAGTCCAAATGGATCAAAGACCTCAAAATAAAGCCAGCCACACTGAACCTTATAGAAGAGAAAGTGGGAAGTACACTTGAATGCATTGGCACAGGAAACTACTTCCTAAATAGAACCCTAGCAGCACAGATACTGAGAGAAACAATAAATGGGACCCCCTGAAACTGAAAAGCTTCTGTAAAGCAAAGGACACGGTCAAAAAGACAAAACAACAGCCTACAGAATGAAAAAAGATCTTCACTAACCCTTGTTACTGTGGTAACAAATTGTTAGTATCTTCACTAACAAAGGTCTGATCTCCAAAATATTCAAAGAACTCAAGAAATTGGACAACAAAAGATCACATAATCCAGTAAAAAAAAAATGGAGCACAGACCTAAACAAAGAACTCTCAACAGAGGAATCTAAAATGGATGAAAGACTCTTAAAGAAATGTTCAGCATCCTTAGTCATCAGAAAAATGCAAATCAAAACAACTCTGAGATTTCATCTTACACCTGTAAGAATGGCCAAGATCAAAAACACTGATGACAACTTATGCTGGAGAGGTTGTGGGGTAAAGGGAACACTTCTGCATTGCTGGTGGGAATGCAAGCTGGTACAACCCCTTTGGATGTCAGTGTGACAATTTCTCAGAAAATTAGGAAACAACCTTCCTCAAGACCCAATCCTACTACTTTTGGGTATATATCCAAAGGATGCTCAATCATGC